AATTTGACGACGTGTGGTGCAACTTAGCTTGCACTTTATAACGCACGCATTGCCGTTCGGTCGTCGATGAACAGCGTCCCGCAAACGATAACTTCGGACCCACTAATTGTAATTCACGATGCAACTGCAATATAAATCGTAACTGATGCAAGCGGTAGTTTTATTAGTTCGAAACAGTCGTATTAAAATATTTTATAATATATGTGAAATATATCAAAAGATTCGAGAAACATTTTGTAAACATACCTACATGGAAAGAATTATTTCTTAAAATTTACCCTGAAAAAAAAAAAATATATATATATATAGTAATTATGGTATAATACAATATTTTAGAGATTTTTACCATGCACTTCAGTAAAATTAATCAAATTTAAAATATTTGTAATAAGGCTCAATATGTTCTCAACAATTAATATAGAGAAATAGGGCAATGAGCCAATAAAAATTCGTTAAAATCTTTTTAAATTAATCTAATATATATTGCGAAGAATATGTTACGTAATTATGGCGTTTCGTCCCAGCTTCCACTACTGGACTCATCAGTAAACATTGTAGTGGAAGCCTATCTTAGACGCCTGGGAGAGTTATTTAATCGAGATTCTATATAAAGAGATATGTCAAAGCACTTACGAGAATTTGCGAATATCGATAGGCCTCTAATGACGGGTCGACGTAATAATATTCGTAATATTTATCCAAAATAATGTATGTAGCCCCCTCCCCCCCCAACTTGCGCGCCGAACAATCGTCGGTCTTGAGACGCAACTCTAATAAATCTGAAATAACGTTCCATTAACAATAACCAATAACTTACCTCTGATGTTTAGGCGGTCATGATGGTGTAAAAATAACACAAAATGTTTGACGGCAATTTAGAACCTGAAGAATTATTTCAAAATGTAGATGTTTTTAAAAAATAGTTAATAGAGATAAAATGAGAAACTATAAATCAATATTGTTAAATTTAATTGATTTTATTGATAACCGCTGTTTCGTATGTGTACCATATATTCATCTTTATAGAAAATATAAATATTCAATTCTAGTAATTTTCTACGGAGATTTATACATTTGATATATTCTTAAATATGTTAAAAAAAGAAAATTGAGATGTGTATGGACTTCAAAAATGCGTTTTTTTTTTTTTTTTTTAGTAAAATATAATCTCAATAATAAAGCAATTAAATAAATTGGGCAAATAATAAATTTTTAGAATTCAAAATACTGTCCTTTAACGGAAGTATCACTATGATATATCCGTTTGTGAGCATCATTAGTTTTTATAGAAAATAATCTGTATCGTGCTGTATAACGCACAATACGTAATTTTTCATGGTTGACACAATATTATACAATACATATATTGGCATTGTTTGCCAGATTCTCCATGTCTTGTCAGATGAATTTGACCGTTACAACCGCAAAATTGGTTTCCAGGCAGAAACAAACGGATGTAAAGGTGAAACGAAATAACTTACCAGCAAATCTTCCCAAGCACCTGTCCTATCCGGGATTGCGGGGAATAAGATCCTTTATAGACCTCCAATCGCACCACGGTTGCACCTGTTACGATTTTCCTTAATCGCTGTATTCTTGTACCGCGTTATGATAAAGAAAAAGGAACGTATCATTATCCAAACTTTTCCGTTACAGAATGAGATAAATTTATAATTTTCACAAAAATAAGGATGTGATAAGAATTGAAAGAGAAAAAAAATGATAAAACTTTTTATATAGATAGATCTTTTTTTAATAAACAATTGGGTCACAATTCACTTATGTTAGTTAGTTAGTTTTTTAGACTCTCTTATAATTACAGTATTTTTTATGTATAATTATTCACTATATAGTATTGTCGTTACACATATATAACATTATGTCGCGGTATATCGACTGAAAGTGAGGCATGATTCACTAGGTAGCCTCCCTGTTCTATCTTTTTCTTTCATTCTGCAGGACGTACTCTCATACATATACCATACGCACGCACATGCACACACAAATATCGGGAATCGACATGATCCGTGATTTATAATTTTTATACTCTACTATGTGTGAGACACTTTTCAAAGTCTGTCACAATTTCTCGATATACATACGTAATCTAATTTTATTATAGATAAGAAGTACACGCTAAGTTATGTTTACTGAGATCATACTAATACATCACAGGGTTACATAAACATTAGATTTTTCTCTCTTTGCTATTTTTTTTTTTTTTTGAGTTTCCACCACGACAGGCACCACGCGTTGCGACTTTCTCAGATCTTAAGAGATTCCAAGATTCTTGAGTCCTGTTTTTTTTTTAATCTAACGGTGACACCATACATTGTAGAGAATCGTCGATCACTTATTTAATTTCGCAATACGTCACAAACGAAAAAGAATCTTTTCACTACAGTACGAAAATTATCACGATCCTATCGCTTTTTCGAGTGAAAAACTATCAGAAAAACGTCTTACGCAATCAGAGAAAAAGAAGCAACTCTCTCCTGCTTAAAATTTTCTATAGAAAACTATTAAGAAAATTCTATAGTTTTTAATGAGCGTTTTGAATCGGTAAATCCCAATCCGCAATAGTTTTCTATTATTATACTCATAGAATCTTATTGATAACTGTAGAGCTTCTATAGTCGCTCTCGTGCGCTACTATAGAAACTATTAAAAACTATAAATACCTATACAAACTCTATATGTTCCTATAGTTTTTTTATAGAAAATTTTAAGCAGGTATACTGGTGGCAACTGTACAAGTTTTACACGTAAAATTAATGTACAGTTATTGCAACTATAAAATAGTTTATTTAATATATATATATATATATTAATTCTACAAAATTTCTACAGTTGTCACTTACATAATTGTTGTTTTTCTCCGAGTGCGTCTGTTAGTGGCATCGTCAGATTAAATTCGCTTACTTTTATTTTTTAATGACTTGCTGCACTAATATCAAGATCGCGAGGTGCCACATGTTCCATGAACATAATCAATGATAATTATTTTTCAACCGATCCGACTGATATTTTGAAAATTTTTATGAAATTTTGAATTTTCTATTCCGCGCGGAAGAAAACGAGCATTGTGATCAATGCGTAAGTTTAAATTTGATTTTTGTTACACTTTTCGTCGCTTCTCTTCCACACGTTCAGTATTACGGGCGGGCTTTGAAAAAATAGCTTGTAACCACCAGTCGTATTTTTGGGTTATAATCTCAAAAAGGAAATGGCGAGCAGGAAAAAGAAGTATCAGGAGAAGCAAGATACGATAGGATATTCGATCGCTCGTTAATGAGGCGTTAGCAAACAAAAAATCATGTATAATAAACAGCTACCATTATAAAACTCAATTAATATACACAATTAGATAGTACGCTCTAATATTTTATACTTTATAAATTCATTATCGACGAACGAAATAAACGCTCTTTTCGTTATTTATGTTGGAATTCTTTTACTCTCAAATGCCTAACAGTCGATTTCGACGATGCTTGTCAAAGAAAATGCTTCTCTTCGTATACCAATTACGAAAGTAAAGAACTACTTTTGCGAACTCTCTAAATTGCGAACTACTGATTTCTTGTTAAATATTTGAAATTTCTTACACATAATTTTTTGAGATTATATATATGTATATATATATTATGTAACTAAAAAAAAAGTTAATTCAACCATTGTGATACATTTTTACCATAACGGAGATACTATACCAAAATCATCGATTGTTCTTTAAAATTAGGTTAAGTTAAATTTAAAAAAAAAAAAAAAAAAAAAAAACTTTCTATTAGCTTTACGTTTAATGAAACATAAGACGTTCAAAGTATATGTATAATAAATTGTTTTTATGTAAGTTGTTACATTGGTCTAAATTAATTGAAACGTGAAAATTTAATTCACGATTGAAAAGTAAATAAATATCCAAGAGAATATCGTGGCAAAATTGAGGCATTCAATTTTTAACCGAGAGTCATGTAAAAATATTTTTAAAAACTTAATTTTAATTCACAATGTACAAGAAATGAGAATGATGATACAAAGAGGAAATCAAACCATGTTTTTTCGGTAAAAACTGTAATTTTACGAGGATTACATGTCTCTCGCATTATCTGCCGGAAACGCATGCGATATGGATAAAGAAGGGAAAAGAAGGAGAAAGGAGATGAATCTTTTTTGTTTTCTGTATTTAATAGGTAGAGAAGAAAAAATCACGGGATGATTTGGCATCGGCTGTACTTTCTTAAAATCGTACAGGAGATCAATGCTTAAACTTGGGTAACAAACTAATAGCTAAATCATATATTTTTTTCTTCTTCCTTAAGAGGATGCTGGAGTTACCGACGGAACGCTCGTTTCTGAGAAATACGATTTGAGTGTACGTAACCTCATATTCAAGCGATATATAGGAAAATAAGAAATGTATGTAACGGCTTTTTATTTAATGGCTTATTTAATATACGTAATGTTTTACTTGATGTATGTAAATATTTTCTTGATGTATGTAATACTCGTATATATTTTAATTGGAATTAAAAATCTGTTTTACTGATATATCGATTAAGTTTGGCCGTTTCTCCAGCATCGCCTTAAAGCTGGTCGCATTCTGACCATGGAATCGCAACCGCTCTTTTTCTCTTTTCCTCTTTATGTTTTCGCAAGACCATGTCCGATTCGACAGTTTCAAACAAAACTCGTGAAACTTTTTAATTTGGAAATTCAAAGCCACTTCTTGATATCGCACATATTTCAAGAACACAGCATCGAAATTGGCGCGATATCTGTCATAGAACTTTTAAATAGAATTTTTATACAATTTTAGAATTTCATCACCGGGCTAGAATGCGGCAAAATCAAATATCGAACTTCTATGGACCAGCTTAAACACACACCCCCTTTCATTAAATCCAATGAATACGCGCGATATACTCTCTTCTATATCTTAGAATCTAATCAACTCTAATCCCTACGAGAATAGCCTATATAAACTTGCATGTATTTCTTAACTTCTCTCTTTCTCTCTCTCTCTCTCTCTCTCTCTCTCTCTCTCTCTCTCTCTCTCTCTCTTTTCATAACGTGTTTGTGTAACGACATCGTTTAAACATTTTTCTACGAACGTTTCGAAAACAAACAATGAATATATTACATTAATTAATTTGGACACAAATCATATTACTCTCTATCTACAATCTAATTTTTATATTCTTCTTAGTATTACTTACTCTATATTCTAATACAGAAAATGATGTGACACATATTATAAAAAATAGCGACGAGAGTCATTCTCTTTTCCCCTCTCTTTCCCCATCAAGCAACCTTCGTTTTTGACTCTCTATTTTATTCTTTTTCTCGCCTCAGGTCCTTTTTAAATTGCTGTTATTATTTTCATAATCCTCACGGTATTACAAAGCGATATGACAGACGAAGATGTACGTGATGGAGAACGGCGTTACTTCCCGTTTCATATTTTTTTTTCTTTTTTTAATTTTATTCATTCATTTCGCCTGCGCTCATGGCGGATAAAACTATATGAATGGCACAGCCAACGCGGACCTCGCGCCTCCTGTCCGAGTCCCTGCCCTCTTCTTTCTCCGTTATTCCACACGGTAATGCAGTATCCCACTTCCGGTACTGTCTCCCGTTGCGTACAAACGAGATGGAAAAAGGCGACATTCGAATAAGAAAGCTGGAAGATTTTTAGCTGCGTATCTGACCCGCGTTGCGAGCAATCTTCTCCGGCGGCTCTATCATGCTCTTTGTGGTGCCGTTCAAGCTGCGCTTACGACTCTTCATATAGTCTGGAACAGACAATAAAGAAAACACATCTTTACACAACCGTCTTTACTGAGATGACAGGTTTGTCGAAGACTAGAATCTGAAGAAAAACTGCTGTTTGAGTAATATTTTATTTCAAGAGTTTCAAGTCGATTAATTCGCCAAAGAGTATAGTAAAACATCGCGAAGGAACAATTTGTTGAAGTTTTTATAAATATCTTCTGCAATCTGAATCCTTTTTGGCACAAGCGAAGTATTCAAATTTCTTCCGCATTTTTAATAAACAAAAGTTTTAATATTAAAATTCAAATTTGTTCGATAATGTTATAGAGATGATGATGTGGCAAGTAAATCTGATTTTCTTTGAAAACTTAGAATAATAAAAACTTGGGCTGGACAAAACAGATTGCAGACGAAGAGTTAATAAAAAAATTAGCATATAAAGTAAAAGAAAATTAGAGTACATCATAACGAAGTGGCATCGAAGGGTTAAGATAATTTGATAAAAAGCACAATATTTTATGTATATAGGAAATGTATAAATATAGTTCTTTCAATATTTACTTATATATTAATATACATTGCATCTTGACTGAGTCAAAGTATCTCGGAACGCATCTGGCAGACAGTGTAAGCAATTCGCAGCTTATCTTCGGCTTCGATTTCTTATAATCGCATGCAATGTCACTTAACCTTATGCACAATCCGGCTTATTCCCGACCGCATGTATGCAAACAAAATCTTTCCTCTCTGATAACCTTCGAAATATTATACCGTACCGTACTCGCTAATTATATCATGAGATAAGAGTGCGAGGTCAGGATTTTATTATGTTTATTGCACGTTTGAACGTAGTTGCAATTTTCAGACAAACATATTCGTTACCACAAAACGAATTCGGCTCGTGATATTTCGCGCGATTAAAAATATATATAAGAAATGAATAAACGCGACCGAGTGCTCGAAAAAGATATTAGTAGAAATGATATTTAATTGAATTTTTAAATATCATTTCTATTTTCTATATTACTATATTTAACGAAAAATAAAACTGTCTTCTTTCAAAAAGAAGCTCACTGATCGTGACTCATAAACCCCAAAGGTACAAAGGCACCCCTTTAGAGTATACCATTTGGCGAAGTTTCCACGCGATGAAAATAGGTGCATCATCTGTCCAATTCTCTATTCAACCATCTCGTGTTTTTGTCGTTTGCCGAGCCATATGATAAAAATGATTAAAATTGTACGAGCGCGCATCCATGTTTTATTCTTCTAACATTCTCCTTATTTCAAAATTCTTTTACAAATTATTAATTTAAATACTTCGGGGATATATTTTATAGTATTAGAATCAACTTAAGAATGTATTGCTAGAAATTTTTCAAGATTCAAAAGTTACCATAACAAGACGTCGAACTGATAGGGGATTTTGCAATTATTTCTCGACGATGCTTTAAATATCTAGGACGAGATATGCGGGCTCTAAATTCTGATTTTAAATGCCGACTCTTTTGCAACGATCCGTCTGCCGCCCCTGGGGTTCGTAGACAGGGGCACGCGATTGCGTGTACAGCTGATGCCCCCCACGCGTGCAAACACTCGACGTACACGCGTCGCGCGGAATACAAAGGGCCCGAAAAGGGAGAGAGAGTGGGGATCGGAAAGGGAGAAAAGACATGGGGGTGCACTCGGGGCCAGCAACCCCATATGGATTTCAACAGCTGACCGCGCGGCTCATTAATAAAGTACGTTAGAAATATCGTTTGGCGCCCCCATGGCTGTATCCGTAAAGCAAAATACGTTACGAACTCGTTACTTCCTCGAATGAATTAAGTAGCGCAGATAGGAAAAACCCAATCGGTTCCCATCCATTCTACACGCGTGCTCCGGAAGTCGCACACTTCCTTTCGGATAACAAACAAAAGACGAACTTAAAAAATGGCCATTTAAATACTGAAGTTTTCACGCCGCAAGAAACGGTTAATTAATGAATATTGATTTTGAATTATTATCGGATTTTTGAAAACACATTGAATTGATATTGATCTTTTATTCGAAACAATAAAGACAAAGACGAGGATTAATATATAATAAAATGAGATTTAAAAAAAGCATCGATGCGTCATGAATGTAACGGTAGACGACGACGAATGTCTCTCCGCTGACTTGCAGTAAAGCGTAGTTTCGCTTTTTCACGCGATGCAGTAAAAATATAAACAAAGGCGTCGCGTGCTGGCGCAACGTGAAATGTGTTTACACGTGTGTACACGCGTGCGCGACACATGACGAGTCATGTCCAAAAATAGTTGCGTCGCGTGGGTGGTGTGCATGGCCAAATAATAAATGGAAGAAAAAAGAAGTAGAACTAGACTGTGTTAAGTTTTTATTACAACTTCAACAAGATGGCTGTGTGTTGCAACAACATGCGATGTAAAAATATGGAAATCTCGTTCAAATATTCAAAATCACAGAAAAATAAATCTTTATGACGGAGCAACATTTTTTTTAGGCGCTACTTTTTTATTTACGTTTAAATTCACTCTTTATATGATTATACAAATTTGTTGTATTAGTTAATCATACTAATTTGATGTTGTTGATTTATTTACATCATTTTATTGAAATTTAATGGAAAAAGTTTCGAAAAGTGAATATTGCGGTTTTCGCAATTAATTAATTCGAATTAATGTTCATTTTTGCAATAGTCTTTAACCTTAGTTTAATCTTAGTTTTACTCCATTAGTTTCTAATTCTAAGGACTATGTAGAGAAAGATATTAATCTACATTGATAGAAACGGGCATGAGACAAACAATTTAGTTTTTTCTTTTTTTTTCTTCAAGAAACAAATATTTCATCATTAGATGCTTATCTCGCAGTCATTATGTCACTCAATTATGTATTGTCTCAATTTTTTCTCATCTTCATACAATCGATTGTTATCAAATAAATTTCTAAATGACGGTGATTACGTTCAAAATTAACACTGTTAATCTTTAATGATATACATCGCTCGCGTGTGAGAACATCAAGAAAACAATAATTTGGCGAGAATGATAACTGCACGTGTACGGTTAGATCGTGTATGCAATTATGATTAGCGATACCGCTTCTTCCATTTCGAGTAGTTGACTTTCTTGTAAATATGGTATTATTGCAAGTCCATCCTCGGTAATAATTTATTACCTCTGTAAAGTTAAGTTGCTATTTAAAAAAAAAATGAATTTTTTATTGTAATTTTGAATACATCTAGAAGAATTTTAGAGATGCTTCCTGAAGTTAAAAATAATTCTGACGCGAATTAAGTAAAGAATTCAATAATACATTTGGGGGGTGCCAATTAACTTCACACACAAAACGATTAAAAAATTTTTAGTGAAAAGATTTAAACACCGCATAAATTTATAACGTCTTACAAATTTATTATGTTATTCCAAAATTGAATTTTGCGCGATTTACTGTTGACGTAAACATCTAATGCAATTGATTGTAGATGTTGGAGCGTGATTTCGCTTAGCCGTGAATAAAAACAGTTTTTATACTATCAAAGCCTCTCTTCAACGACGTTATCGCGTGATAATATAGTTCCGATAATGCATACATGTTGCGTTTCGTTTGCAGAATTCGGTTTTTATTGATACAGAAAGAAGGAAAAAAAATGATCGTGCGTGCACTCTACATACAAAACGTTGAAGGTTATGTAGATTATTAGTAAATATTAAAGAAAGTGAAAAGAAAATTTAAAAACTATAGTTCAAATAAATACTTTGCGTTGTTTTGATCATTGTTGTAAGATATAAAATATTAAACGGGAAGGACAATTTTGCCAAAATATTAAAAAATTTAATTCAATTACAGATTTGTGAAAATAATTTTGTTAAAATTTTTTACAGCATTGCTAGAGCGTAATTGTTTTGATAATCTAACAAAATTATTTTCAGATTCTGTATCTAACTTAGCAAAACCGTTCCAATAATATGGCAAAATAAATAAACAGTATTTTTCAACACATATAAAAATTGATTAATAGTTATTTATTTTACTATAAATTTTATTATGCCAGTTGGAATATATATATATTCTTTTATATCCATATGCGAGAGATCCAATAAAAAAATAAAGCTGATAATATTTCGAAATACATGAACAACAAAATGCAAACGCAATTCGTTATTATCAGGTGACGTAATTATATATACGAATTGCGACGACCTTCCAGCGAACAAATTGGATTGACCTAGGCAATACGCTTCCTACATAAATGCATCAAGCCAATTAATCACGATAAATTCTAGTTAGGAATCAGCTATTTTTTGCAAAATTATTTTCGCGATTCGTACCATCATAAAATTATAATTAAAGCAAATATGCAATGGTTCACATTTTTTCACAGGGATAATCTGCTTTCCAGAAATTTCTAATTATAAGATAAATTTCTATTGTATTATATTTCTATATACAGAGATCAACTTTTAACAAGTTTGATTTTCACGTTATATTTTTAATATCAATCTGTCTTTAATCTTGGTTCAACGTATTCTTCATCTTTTTTTAATATCTAGAACAAGAATGTGAAAAGTTGAACTGAGAAGAATTAAAGATTGAAAGAGATAAAGAATAAATTAAACTAAGATTAAAGTTAGACACACTCTATATTGATAGACATGGATATTAGAATGACAAAGAAATAGTAAATTAAATAGAGATTAAAGAGTTAATTTACACTGGTAGAAATAAACCATAAGTAAGCTAACTTCTCAATTATATCCCTGCTATATTTCAATATCCCTGTTAATGTTTCAAGAACAGTAAAATTCATGTTTATATATTTTTCAAAAAAATCCATGGGTATTTCTAAATTAGCGAGAGGGAATTAAGAGCATTGAGCAAGTAATCGACGTAAGCAAGTTGACGCAGAGTTTAGCAAGGACCAACGTGAAAATAATAATCATTATCCTCTCGATTGTCTCGCATTCATTATGCATCATACGATACAAGTATAAACGAGCTTCACTGTACTAAAAGCGGCTGAAGCTTCTGTTTTGAAAGATATGCGAAAAATACTTATGCGCGACGAGTTACGAGCAGATTAGAGGTGTGAAAAACGGAGATACGTCGGGCAATCGAGCAAAACGTGCCGCTGTGAATTGCGACACGCATGATTTCATCAGGATAATCTGTAGTCGTTGATAACGATAACGTTAATTTTGTACGCGCGCGTGCGGGCCAAACAATTTCGAAAACAAACATGGCCCGGTTGCATTTATACAGATACATACCTAATCGACTGAGATCCAAAGGCGAACGTACGCTTCGAGTTTTACAGTTTTTATCAGCTATTTCGTGCGATATCTAAATCTTTTTTTGTCCCTCAAAGGCTTCAATTGAAATCACGGCGCCAAGTGAAATTGCGGTAGTTTACATGACGTTGAATTTGTTGAAAGTTGAATGAAAATATATACCATCGTCGAAAACATTAGGAAGTACCGAAAACAACGATTCTATTGTGCGTTATCAGCTTATTTAGCGGCGTAGAATGGCACACACGGAGGAAGAAAGAACGTTTCTGCTGAAGTATCTAAAAATTTAATTAGATACGGATCTGAAAATCATTATAGGATGCTGAAGTTGCTTGCTAGAATGTCAAAACTTTTCGTAGCATTGCTCATCATTAGGTTTGAATTGCCTACATCATTATGGTCCAATCGAATTATTATTTTCATAGCTGTCTTAATTATAGATACTTTAGCAAAGTTATCCTTTCTGTGTAGACTTGCCATCTTTTTTTCCTTCACGAGAAATCATATCGACATTCCGATTTATTGAATTTTCTACTGCAATTAACGGTAAAATAAATAGTAATTAGCGAAAAAATAATGAGAGAAAAAATTGGAATTTACACAATAAAAAAGATTAGAGAGACGGAAAGAGAATAGTTTTGCCAAAGTATCGAAAAAGATGCAGAAGATGGTTAAGAAAAAAATTACTCAAGCTTTCTAGAATTTGAAAACTTTGACTGGTATTGCATGTTTGATACATACTCGAAGAAAATGATTCGTCACAGACGATACAAGACTTACCAGTGATAGAGGACTGTTTCCTCGCGGCTGAAGGTAGGACGGGAGTGGTGGGCTCAATCGCGCACCTCTTCCTCTTGGTGTCCGGGTTGAGAAGTTGACTGGGCGTCGTGGTAGCTTCGCCGATCTCGGGCACCCGGGGCTCTTGCGGTGGGGTCCTCTCGGCCGTCGGCGTGACGACGGTCTCCGTTTGTTCGACGATCCTCGTGCTCGTCATGATCGCTGTCAACGACGTAGTCGGTGCCGTCGTGATGGTCGTTGCGATCGACGAGGAGGCGTCGTCGAAGCGCAATTTCCGCGGGGTCCCAGGCGCGTGTTTTCTCAGGTAGGGCATGCCCCGCAAGGCGTAGGGCTCGGGCACGACGTCGTGCTCCGTGAGCGGTTCCCACTCGTAACGCGAATTCGATTCAAGAGGCGCGCCCACTTGGAAGTTGAATCCCCATCGATCGGCATCGAGCTGCGATTGCGCCCGCAATTCGCGCTCGGCGAGCGCCCGAGCCGCCTCGTGGTCCACCGGTCCGAAGAGATCGCGTCGCACGCGGGCGAGCGCGGCCCTGTTCGGCACCGCTCGACCGCCGCCGCCACCGCCACCTCCGCTGCTCAGGTTCCTGCTTATTTCCGTCATCATCGCCGGGTTCAGCACTCGTGCGCTCATATTTCGTCGCGGTCTATCGCCGCCTGCCTCCACTATACGCTCGCCCGGCAACGTAGAGAGTAGCACAAAAGTCCGGAAGATAACAACAGCTTATTCTTCTCGTAGCCTTGCTTTCTCTCACTCACTTGCACTGCACCCTGTGGTGTCTGTCTCTCTCTCTCTGTGTGTGTGTAGTGTATACGTCGTCGAGAGAAGTAGGGTGACACGCGTTACGAGATAAGAGCTCGCGCGCTTCTTCTAGCCGTGGCCGTGGATGACGATGACTCCTTCCAGGAACCGCGTCCCCGCCGCCGCCGCCGCCGCCTCCGCCGCCGCCGCCGTCGTCGTGGGGACGTTGTTGAAATAATCGCGGCTACGTAGGAACGCCGGCAACGCCGCGATCCGTGGCGCGACCCACCGAATTTCGAATAATGGCCGCGCCGCCGCCACCGAACGTTGACCAACAGCAGAGGAGCAGCCCGCTTCGGTACGTCCGCGTACGTCGCGTCGGCTCAGACGATGATAACGACGACGGCTCGATCTCCGTCCAGGAGAGCGTGGCTCATAAGACGACGCGTGCACGGCAGCCGCGCTTGGCAACACACAGGGGAGAGGGGGCACTGCGGCACGGTTACTACGTGCCAGAGACAGAGAGATAGCGCAAGGCGGCGAAAACAAACTCCGCCTCGCGGCGATTCTCCAACGCGACCTCCGCGGAACAGTCAAAAGTACCCCAAACACTCCGATGAGGAAAACTCGCTCTCTCCACGAGACGATTCCCCTCGGCGGCGTAGTCTCCGGGACGATCCGGCAACGTCGCGCGCGGCCGCCGCACTTGCGCGTGAGCGACGGCGAGAGAGCGTGTCGTCGCGATCCGTTGTGTGTCCCGCGCGAATTTCGTGGTCCACCTTTCTCTCTCTCTCTCTCTCTCTCTCTCTCGCGCTTTTCTTTCACGCCTCGCCCTACTCACCCCCGACGAGACCCTGCCACGCAGGCAGAGCCAAGAACGCAGTCCGTCTCGACGCGAAGGAATTCCATAGAGAAAAACCGTTATTGCACACGGCCCGCAGAGCAATACGACGGAGGAGTTCACTCTTTGACACCGCGTAAATAATCAAGCACCCGCGAGCACGCCTCGGCCGTTTCCCGCCCAAACAAACGCGACTGTCAAGGCACAACAACGCGCGCGTGGCCCACCCGCGATTGCGCAGTTACGTGACGTCGTCGAGCACAGAGAGATCCCCGACAACGCGATATTGCGGAGTTGCGCAAAAAGGAGACCCACGTACTTGACACGGAAAGCGCTCTCTGGCGACTGGAGCGTGCCTCTTTCATCGCGAGCAAGTGAACCTCCCGCGCGACTCGGCACTTTCCGCCGCGACTCGGCCCCGACGTTCGGCTCCGCTCGGCGGTTGTTTCTCCCCCCCGCCCGCCTCCTCCTCCACGCCGTGCAGGCCAATCACGCGGCGAACGGAGGAACGAAATAACCGCCATTCGCGACGTATAGTCCCCTCGACCCGACTGCCGAGTACTGCGAACTGCTGCGAACTGCTGCGAGCTCTGTGAGTAGCCGCGGTGTCAAACTTGTGCGAAACGCGTGTGGAAAGATTGTACAGTTATCGGGAGAACGCGCACCATCCCTACCCATGGGAGAACCCTCGAGCCCGAGCGGAATGCCAATCGCGATCTCTCCGCGCGCTCGTGCTCCAATATTCCAGGTTTCAAACCTCGGGGAGGGACGAAATTTGAAGAGTTGACTCGTTAGGTCGGATTATTTAAGGGGACGGTATTATAAGAACACTCGTGGAAAAACTGTCTAGTTTTCACGACGACTTTCCTTCAAAAATGATAATGGTTCCTCTGTCACGAAATTATTACACTAATTTTTCTCCCCGTCACTTTACTAATTTCTTAATACATAATTATTTCAAGAGATGACACTACGAGAACAGAATGCGATGAAAAACTACTGTCTAACTCTTAAAACGGTTTTCTTTCAAAACAATTTGAAATTTGTTTTCGTCGCGAAATTATATCTCTTTAAGGGCGCGCGAGTAGCAGGTACAGTTTTCTTGAAAATCTTTTCTCGTGAAAAGACGAGTGAAAGTATTGCCTAGATGCTCAGAAATCTAAGCTCATTTATCTTTATTACATTTCTCTATCTCATAAAAGAGATTATAACTGATATAAATTTATAATTATAACACGTAATACACTAATAAAAAATATAACTTAAAAATTAAAATTTTTCTGGGGTACCTACCTACTTGCGTATCTTTAAATCATCCATCTACTTGAAGATTCATTTCTCGGTTATTTTAATATTTTACAATAGAGATGTTTTGTCTCTTGCTCCTTTCATTCGCGCTACTCATTTCACGATGTGATTAATGAGATCGCACGTATACAGGATCGGGATCGAAAACGTCATCGGACGTGTCAAATTAATTTAATTGTGACCTTAATTCGTCGTTTTAATTGTCCTTCACGCACTCCCGGCGAGCAGCGGCGAAAACAGAGTGGCGCGTTCCCTTTCGAACGGGAGGGGCATGATGTGGGAAACGAGAAATAAATAGGTCCAAAACAACACAATCTTATCGCGCGCGTATATTCGGTGGATTTTCATGTTTGCACGACGCGACGCGTTACGCACGTTGAACTCATTTAGCATACCACTCGGATTATCATCGACATTTAATACATCGTGATAGACTCGCCACGCGCTGTCCGAAGGTTATTATGTTCAGCTACTGTGAAGAAATGAGATCATAATTTGTTCAATCTTAAATCCTTCCGATTCAAAATTTTTATGTTAGTTTAACACGAGATAAATCAGTTAGAAGGCGATATACGAGTATTACGTAAAAGTTTATACGTATAACACCTCGACACAATTTCAAATGAATCGTGGAAACATATTTCTTCGATAAAATTATCATTTATAATAAATTAAATTAGCATTAATCTTTTATTCTCAGTTATCTTAGAATTTACGTCTTAAAAAATTACATTTTTTAAAACATATATTCACTCACTTATACGAGCTGTATTATTTTAACACATTCAGAAAACAATTTAATTCAAAATGTTCAAATAACATGATTACGTTCTGTTAAATTAACATTCGAATATATTAAAATCGATGTTAATAGAACATTTTATTGTTATGTAAGAAAAGTTCTCAATTATTGTGTGTAGAAAGTGTGCTGAAGAAATATATATTTTAAGACACGCATATATATATTAGTTTCATATATTATTTACGTAATAGTTTCATATATCATTTTACGTAATATTGAATGATTCTGTTACTAGTATATTTTTTGTTAAAGTGATTCATTTAATAATTTATATTAGATCGATAGCGTTGATTATGCGCTTCAAAATGTAGCTTGATGATTTTTAGAGGTTGATTCTTCCGATAGTAAAAATATCGAACAATTTTCCAAAGTAATCGGAACCACAGAAATTGATTTGCGGGAGGAAATTTGAAAGTTTTAATTCATAAAATGTCGCACGAAGGTTTTTCTGACATCTTTGAATCTTTCGACGCGACGTCCCGTTTGATTCTATGTACGAAACTACAGCGCTCCATGATGATCGCGCGCACGTCACAGTGCTGAGTGCGATGACATAAAATCAACGAGACGAATCGAGACTTTTCATTGATAATTGTCAATTTACTCCGTTGCGCTCGTCTCGCGCGCGCCACGCGAGGGGACACCTATACGGGAAACAGCTCGGCGCGCTGGACAGCGCAACTCACGACGAGCGAAGCGTAGATAAACGATCCCAGAGTCCAATTGGAGAGAGAGAGAGAGAGAGAGAGTTTGCCACGCGGCGTTCAATCTCGCTGGTGTGAGTGTGTGCGTGGATGTGCGTGTAAGCCGCACACACGCCGCCATAACGTGGCGCGAGTATTTCGAATATTCAAACGTGAGTCAAGGATGCCTAGCTTTTTCCCACCTGGCATCGCAGCTCGACTAATGATTAAATGTAGGAGAAAATAATATCCTCACGTACATCATGTTTACGAATTTGTATAAATATGCAAAATTAATCGTTTCGCAAAAGGGATAAAACGACAGCTTTATATATAACATATTAACGTATTATGTTTATTTTACAATTTAAAAAAATTTTTTGCATTTATATTTATTTAAAAATGTATCTGAGTATTTGTAATGTTTTTATAATTTTGTTATTGTACCATTTTGAAATATCTTTATACATTTCTTTATTAAATACTACATTAGAGGAAAGAGAACCATGAAAATTGATATTTTAGAGTGTTAAAATAAATTTAAAAAACCGCGAGGAACGTAGAATTAAAAAAAAAATTAAAAATATTTAATAAAAAAGATTTTTAATGAGAGAAAGATTTAAACTTGACGATGCGCGAGAGGAAATTCGCGTCGCGGTGCAACACGCTGCTCTGGGGAAACAAAATCCCACGCAGCATCCAGGAAGTGGTGAGGGGTGACACCGGATGCATTTCAATGAGGGGAGACGGGCGAACGGGTTTGCGTAAAACAATTCTTTCTGCGTTTTTGCAGAGACCATCGTCTCTTATTCATTGTCCACCGCAGGAGTGCATTTCTGCGAGGTGTCTGGTTGCACAGGTCGCATTTTGTAACCCACAATAAAGCGAAAACTCTTTCCTACGATATTTGTTGCCAGATAACGTTAGCAGGTTCTTCAACAAATTTTGTAATAATCGAAGAGATCGAAGAAGAGATTTATGCACTCGGAGGAAAAGTCACAATGACAGAAACTATATAAAGATGACAATTATATAAATTTTATATGTAGAGAATTATACATGTAATTAATAAACTATTTTACAATTATTATAATTATAAAATAGTTATTCAACTGTGTAAATAATTGCACATGTAAAACTTGTATAATTTGTTATCACCTTTATAGTTGTCACATTGTGTTCTTTTTTGAAATATGTTGTTTATTATTATGCGGAATGCAAAAATTAATTGGAGTAGATGATTTTCTTTCGTTGTGTTTTTACTTTTTATGTTCAACAGTTTTAGATACAATATTATTGACGAAATATTTTTTAATTTAGCCTTGCATTATTTAATTTATCCTCATTGAATGTAGCTGTTGACAAAGCGTTACTTATGCAGCTTTAAAGACGATTAAAAAAAAAAACAAACTTTTCTCGCCTCATGGCAATGCCTGGATATATGTATTAGTGAGTCAGCCAGATTGTTTCCAAAGGAAGCTGATGTTTATTCGCAGGCGAGGCGCGCGACCGGAAGGCGCATGGTCGCATCTGCATCGCGTGTTTACCACCGAAAGAGTCACCTGTTTCATCATTTCACTATCAGAACTGTGCTCTTACAATTCACTTGAGGTCGCCGCTGCCGCCGCCGCCGCCGCGTTATCTCATAACGGGGACAGATTAAACTGCAGCTCTGCGATAAATCATACTTTTATTCAGCTCAAGGTGGTGGATCGAGATCGAGGTTGAAAACGGGTGCACTATTCCGTAGATATAAGAAGCCTACTTTTCTCCGAGACATGTCGGTATCTGGTAAGATGAATGTTTCAAGCAGTGATAAATTAATTAGTTTACACGCGTCAGGTCGGAACGTTCAAGCTATTTAAGAATAGGTTAACCCTTCGTTACTTAGTAAGGTGTTTAGCTCTATGAATTTCTTAAATGTTTGAATATTAATTAAACACATATTATGAGTTTCATTTGCAATTTTTCCATTTATCTTTATCTACCTTTATCTAAAAGATATATAGAATATTTTATCATAATATTTATTTATTTTATAAATCACCACAGGGGAACTATGAAATTTGAGATATAACGTTGAGATGTTAGAAAGAAATAATTACGTTAAAAAAATCACGTGAGTAGAGTTGAACTTCAATCAACTTTGATCACTGTTCGCGGAAATGTTTGTTATCTGATTTTTATGACTGCGCGGAAACCATCGTAATACTTAATAGAAATATTCACATATTCGAAAATTTCTTCTTGAGCATCTGTGATTGCAATCCGTTCGCGAAAAGTTCTTTATCGGAAGGATTCTCAATGCTCGGTCAGAATAATGTGTGCGGTATATGTTGTGCGGCGAAATAATCCTTTGTCGCCGGTCGCGATTGTGCCCACTTCCGTGGGAATTCGCGGAACGGAAGTGCAATTTCTGGCCGGTACCATCGTGGCCAGCTTCCATGGCGGAGCAACGCGAAGAAAAAACGATCTTTAAAGAAACGATGCCAGGTGCAACGCGCACTCTCGCGCCTTCTCACGGCCAAGTACTCACACGGATTATTTCGACGAAATCGTGATACTCGTGGTATCGCAGCGAGTATTCTACGAAGGAAATAAAGTCAATTAAAATTGAACACAATTGAGACACATAAGTTTTACAAATGTAATTTATTCTAATTACAAACTCAGAGTTTCTAATATAAAATATTTATATACAATAATTAGAATACAATACCCTCCATATAAGTTTGGAAACACCCTACGTTTTAGAGGGCAAACAATTACGTGATTATAAATGTTTTTGATTTAAATAGATCATAAGACGTTCAAATTACGATGAACATTTTTATCTGGAACACCTATAAGCTTGTATAGGTATATTGTACTGTTGAAAATATGTCGGACAATTATTTCACAGCGCTCAAGGTTGAATTTCGCGCTCCCCTCTATTGTTTATCTATTGTTACTCCTTTTGTCACATCATACTTGCATGCATTGTAAATACACTTCACAGGTCGTTTGATTGTAGTTTCACGATTTCTCTTAGACTGGTAAACTTGAGTTGTAAGTAGATTTCAGACTCCGTAAAAACTGTAAAAACTACAACAGTCATCGAAAATCAGAAGTTCCGAAGAATCAGATTTCGTATGAATCGCGTCTCAAGACAGAAATAATTTCCGATATATTTTCGGTATGTACAAGCTTATAGGTATTCTCTTTAGATAAAAATGTTCATAGTAATTTGGATGTTTTATGATCTATTCATTTATTCTCGAGCCTTTTTTTCTTTGCTTTCAACATTGCCAAAATTGCTTTCAACATTTTTCGAAGAGTTTTCTCTTCAATAAATTGCCCTCTATATCTTAATTGATAGCGTCAAAGTTTTAGACTTATACTGAAATTAGAAATATGTAATAATGTTACTAAATGCAACGTTGCCACATATTTATTACGTCAGAGTGTGTAGATGACACTCGCAACCAAAAATTTTCTCTCACTGGCGGGAATGGGAGTATCGTCAATGAATGCGCGATGGAATCTAACTTTTTGATGGTATTGTCGCGTTAATACTACCTTAAGAATACTTTTTTTATTTGCAATTATTAAAAATAATTTGCAATTGTAAGATTTCTGATCGATAAGAAATTTTTTTACAAATTATGTTTTATTCTATATCGGGAAAAAGATTTAATCACGATTTTACCAATTTTTGCTCTCTACCCTGAAAAAAATACTAAATTGTAAGAAATATTTATTTGAATAATTTTAAGTAAATATTTGCTAAACATATATTTATTTGGTACAAGAGAATCAATCCTATTATTTATTATTTTGGCGTTGTATAAATTGATATAAATTAGATCACGCGTATTATACATAGTTGCAGTAATAGTACCAAGCGCGTATAACAATTTTTCTTCATTAGATACACTACAGTCTAAAATGAGAAGAAAGAATAAGAAATATATATATATATATAATATCTTAATTATTTTATAATTTTATAGAATATATGTTTTTTTACAGATTTTTTAATTACATATGTATATAATATGTATTGCACATTTGTTTTCATAGACATTAAATTAAATAATATCATACATACGTCATGTTATAAAACTAGTATAAATAAGATTAATTAGATACCAAATCGCAGGATTCGCGCGAAACGCTTATATACATATGTATATATCTTCAGATTTCTCTTTGAATAAGTTATTAAAATTAAGAATTTAACTTTGGTTTCTTATTTTTTGGAGATTTGCTTAACATCATGTCTTCTTTGACTAGAGAAACTTAAAGTCAATCAATTCGAAAGAATTAATGAGCCCCCACTTTATAAATTTTAGTTTATAAATTGCCATTCTGTAAACATAATTAATTATATTTTGTAAAATTTTAGGCTTACTTATTCTCTCTACTTGTATAAAAAATCGTTTTAATCTTTTTAGAAAAAAATTTGTAAATAATTTTCTAACATTCTAATAAAAAAATTATTCATACGTATTACAAAAAATTCACGTAGTTAAAAATTTATGTAGTTATAATAATTTACGCCTTATATATTACATTAAAAAAATTGCAATGTCGTTATTAAAATTTGCTTATCATTAAACGATATCACAATTCAATTCTTTGCCGGTTCATTTTTTTCATCCGTTAATTTGTTAAATGATTTTTCTGCGTTATTTTCTATTTTCTTCGCGCATTTTTCTTGTAAATTTATCCTAATTTATTTTAGATTCGAAATTTCATTTCCTTGTTCATCAAGTCGTGTCCATTCGAAACGAACAGGATTCTCCACTGGCCTTCCGCGTAGAAAATCGAAATCCCACTTCTTTTTGGCCTACGCATCAATAAACTTTTCATTTTTGAACCATGTTAATCGATGTCTATTGCAATATTTCACGTATAATTACTTTATTGAAACGTAATTAATACGTAATCATGACAAGAAAAAAATTAACAATCGTTCGAATTTAACTTCTTAAAAAAAATGATTTGTTTCTCACCTTTTCCAATTGTATTCGTTTTTCTTCCAAAAAATGATTGTTAATATTTTCACGTTCCTGTGGATTGTCGTTGTCACCGTCGTCGAAATTAAGTCTCCTACGCACACGATTGAGTTGATTAACGTCAATGTTCCTGTGTTCTTGCGAATTATCATTGCCATCGCCGTTTGAAGGAAATCTACGCACGCAATGGTGTCGGTTGTTGATACCGTCGTCTGAAGAACGTCTATGTACATCAAGGCGTCTGGTGGTACCAATCTCTTCTTCCATTACTAAGCGAGTTCTAAGAAAAATTTATCTGTTTAGTGATCAAGTTAGGGCGGTTCGCGGTTTTTTCTGGATTTTATAATTAACGGAGTTTATGATAAAGAGAAAAAGATTTAATATTAAAGAATGAATTGATTTGCGACATCTGATCTATTTTACAATATTTGAACTTGTCCGATCTTTTAAAGCATGGATTACTAATTAGGAATTAATATCCCCCCCTCTCTTTCTCCCAAGTAAAATTTATTGAAACTATAAAATTTGTTGAAAGCTATCACTATATTCTTCGTCAATGACAGCCAGGTTTAGAAATCGTCGTTCTTCTTTAGCGCGTTAAGTTGAGGATGTATCATCACACTCTTTGTCAGCGACAGTTTTAAGAGTAATCACTTAAAGTGATTGTTACAGGCCAAGTTGACTTGCTGAGTGAAATAAGTTGTTTGACTTTTTAAAAGGCTTGCTCAAATTAGAGTTGACAATCCTACTGCTCGAGACTGTTTTAGACAAAGCTTTGCGCGGACTAATTATTTAGTTATTGATATACTGAAGTGACAAGAAATTTCCCGCGCCAATTTCTTCCACTTCAGCTCCTAAGACTAACCTCTTACGACTAAGAATTAAATAGATTTTCGAAGTTACACCAGTACCAGAGATAAGGTTTCTCTTCTCTTTGTGTTCCTTACGCTCTTATAATGATCGCACGGCGCTTTTTATGGGCGTTCGTTAACACAAACTGGTTTAATTCGCCTGCTTTCGTCGTAAGCACTAACGAATAAATTCTATGTTATTCGCGCGTAATTACTATGATGTACAGTGGAGCAGGTGCAGATACAACCGAGTGCATAAAGCCTATCGCACATGAAATGCATAACAGTGCATGAGCATAACATAAAACTGTTGGACCAATAAGCATCCAGCATAAAGTTGCCATATTAATTAACATAAGGTGCTCATTGGTCTTACGTTATGCACTGTTATGTGCATTTCATGTGTTTTGGGCTTAACTCCGCAGGTTACATGTAGCGTGTGTCAGAATGCTACGCAGTACAGTAGCATCTCTCCGTGCTGGCCAGGCCAGGTTAACGCACTCAGGGCTACGTGCTTTCCTTTTTCGGCACATTTCGGCCGTACTCACGCGTACGGGAAGATAAATGGGTGCTGGCGGCACTCCACGAATCGAGGTGCGAGATGATGATTCGCGAGAGGAAAGGAGAGAGATGGAGAAAAACGAGCGCGCATTGTTGAAATCACTCGAATGGCGTCATGCGGAGCCGGTCATCATCTGATTCGGCATAATATATCATCGCACCGTATTAACTCGGAAATCGCAATCGCCCGAGAACGATATATGTGTATATATATATATATTTTTTTCGTTTCTTGAAACCGCCGTTGTACTTTTTTGCGACGATCCAATTATTGCGGATTTATCGCCGGCATAAATTGCGCGCGCCGTTTATTTGGTCGTCTAAAACTGACATTGGCGATTTATCTGGAGCACTGTATGTCCAGTGGACTTAACTGCCGGTATTGAAAGTACTCGTTTATTATAAAAATATTTTACACAATCTATTTTCGATAGATTTAGCTGTCATGTATTATTTTTACTATAAATGTAAAAACAGAAATTATATTAATAACAGAGTGTTAAAATATTAGTATATTATAGTAATTAATCAAATTAATCGAATTAATAGCTCTAACCTATATTTATCTCGTCGGTGTCGCACGTGATTATCAATTCTCCGTCGCTGATGACGTCTAATTACTTAATACGATTTCCCGTTCTTTTGGCTATTTATATAAACCTCCTCAAGACCAAGGACTCAAAGTGTAACTACACTGGTAATACGAACAGCGGTTACGACATCATATCCGGTAACAGAAATGAGTTAGTGTACATTTACTGCAAAAGTGTAAAAACCCAATATTATATAGTACATCCAATCCCTTTTGATTTGATCGAGAGTTTTGTATTCTAAAGAACTGTTCTCTCTCGTACGTCCCTATATATACGCCTGTAGCCTATCAAACAGGTAGTACGGGTTTATACAAAGGTGCATGCCTTTCTCTGACCCACTTAGTCGCTCAACTATTCCACACAAATATTGAATTGCACAATTGGTTTCGTCATCCTCAGTTGTCACGTGAGAATTTATCACGAGATACGCGAAAAAAGTTGTATCCTCTTTTTCCAACAAAAGTACATCTCGAATATATCATACGGATATCCTATAGACATTGCGATATATTTATAGGCTGTTCTATGATATGTGGACATTTTTGTGCTGTATGGACTTTATTTCATATAGGTAAAAAGGAAATACGATATGAAGTATTCCATGCACGATCGACGACTACGATTAACATTTCCGGTGCAACTTCGCGACTTGCAAATTCTGTCTTACATTTTTATCCGTATTCTTCGCACGTCACGCTAATCTAAAGCTAATCTTGCGACGAGATTACGTCAAAAATAAGTTTCGTAGTTACGTTGACAGCAGGTCGAGCTATCAATCAAAAGCAGGAGGTATGCAGAATTAATTGAAGGAACAAACGAAATTCTAGACCACGATTATTATGTCGAGATATATGGTAGATTCAGCCTAATCTGTTCGTCTCTTACTCACTTCTTCGGGATGACTTCCTCTTTCATTCAGCCTCTCGCAGAATGTGTCTGCGAAGCGGTGATAAGGTATCGGTTTTTATCTGTAATTACACTGGCGAGCGCTTTTGATCGGGATCGTTTTGTTGCACTACGTTATTTATCTCGTCTTCGCACGTGCGTCTCGTCTTTTGGTTTAACGTCGGTCACAACCGGCCGTCAGTTCGTACATTTACACCACAGATCGATAAACACGTTTTCATCGGGGGTGTGGAGCCCGACTGGGGTGATTTTGTGCGCGCGCACCTACCCTATGACGAGGGTGAACAATCGTCAGGGCGCATCCGCAAGGTTTTCGATTATCGATAGCACGATACAATTCGATTTGTGGGAACACAAAAAAACGTAAGCAGTATAGCAAATCTAAAATACTGATTTACTAGTTTTTGTTTCTTACTACTTAAGTTTTTCTGTGGGCTACGTAACATATACATTCTTGTGCGGAGAGCTTTAACTGGACTCAATGTTCTAATGATCGATTTTTCCAAATAATCGAATAATTATGTTGTTAACAGAATGAAAAGTTGTTTGATATTATTTTATATAAAATGGAATATAAAGAAATGCATAACTTTTGGTCTACTTCTTAGATTGTACAATAAAAGGATCAACTTTTAAACACGTGTTAATTCGAACAGTCTATATTCTAATGATTCCGAACTGTATAGAAATATCCTAGCGAATATCAAATGATTTGAAAATATAGTTTTTTCCATGGAAAATAATGATGGTTTGCAATAATTTATTTTGTCTTTCCGTGAATACTTGAAATACTAATTTACCTCACAATTGCTGATATCAAAATGTCTTGAAATGTAAATGATACCCTCTTGTCTGTTGGTATTTATAGAATAACCCGACGGAAGTTGAGAGAACACACATTAAGAGACGCGTCGCGGACAGAGAAACTCTCCGTTGGTATGCAACTAGTTCCAAGGTAAGACTATTCTATTGCTGCATCTCGGCTGCAGCTCTGACTAGCCTAGATTCACTTAGGCCTCGCGCGGACGATCGCGAACGGCAATGCAAACGCATGCGCGAAAGAACCCGTTAACCGTACGTTTCATTGTGTGCGGTCATTCATCCTGCAAAGTGAATTTATATCGGCCGATGCCAAGTAAAGTGTTCATGATGATGAATGATATTTTTCCGGCAAAGAAATATTGCTCCGGACGTTCCGCGAATCTTATTACAATCGCGAGATGAGGGCGGGAGGTGTAGGAGGACGAGGATTAGCAAGAAGGTCATATTGAGACTACCTTCGAAAGGCTCAATGAGAATTATCGCGTCACTCTGGGGCGCGTATTTCCGTTCCAGACTAATGTCTTGTTTCGTGGAATCGTCTGGCCGGGATGGAGCTTAATTAACGATGCACGTCCGATAATTCGCGCGATGCCATAACGATAACGTTTTAATTAACAACGTTGCACTACGTTATCGGCGCTTGAAGCCCAAGGTTATAGTTTTTCGAGGATTACTGGACGACGATCGCATTTATAATCGAGGAAAATAACGTGACCTCACCGCTTGTATATTGGCTCGTAGAATCCGATAGGCGTACGTTGATTAAGCATAACACGAAGATGACTCATTATATCTTATTGGAACGCAGCTTGTCATGATAAGAAATTGAGAGAAATTTGCGTCGCTTCGTGATAGTTGAAAGATTTCCGCGTTTTTAATCTTTCTACGGTTCACTCAAAACAAAATAAGAAATTGCCAATTAAGCTGATATACTACGCATTTATATATTCGTGTATTAAAAATAGAAAGATGAACATATTTAGAAATTTAATAAAAATAAGCAGACATGTATTCGACGTATGAAATTTAAATTGCATTTTTCAAATTATTTTAGAAAATATTTTATATTTTATGTGTTCATTCATTCTCGTAAGTGCTGAGACACGCGTATATCTCTTTATCTCGATTTAATAACTTACCAAGGCGTATAAGGTATAGGCTTCCACTACAATGCCTTACTGATGAGTCCAATAGTGGAAGTCGGAACGAAAAGCCAAAAATTACGTGATATTCTTCGCAATATATGTATAATATTAGAATAAATTATCAGATTTAGATTTTAAATTGTAATTTGACTCTTATTCGCTCTATTTAACGTATTAATTATTAAAAATATATAATTTTATCAGACTATTAAAATAATTAAATAACACTCAAATTGATTGTTAAACTGTTTTTTTGTAACTGTATCATTACACTTTGAGTATTTTAAATATAATTATTTAGAGAGAGATAACCTAGGAAAATTATTTTTAAATTTGTATCGAATTAAACTTTTTAATATTTTAGCAAAACTGTTCTTTCCGTATTTATATCTTTGATGCAATTTAATTAAGTGTCAGAAGAGATATCTATATCTCTATAATGATAGAATATTGTTTTTACGGATAACACAACGGGAAGTGCGATGATAAGATGTCTTACATGCATTCGTGCAATCATACAGTAGAAATTTTTAAAAAAGGTAACGGAGCTGAATTAGCAGCGCGTCTAGAGACGTAGTTTCAAAAACATTCTCCTTCCTTGGGCACGGCACTTCCTACGGCTGGCGACGACCTCTTTAACGGCTCGCAAGCAACCGCCGTTTCGTACCGTTTCGAAGGCAGTGTTCCGCATCGTGATTGCCATCGAGGAAACACGAGTAACTAAATCGCGCATAAGTTTTTCTCTCGAGTAAGCCCTGAACGTTGAACACCCAAATGTTTTTCATGTCCTATACTGATCTTCGTGTTCGACTTGCTTCTTGATTTCAGCCTCGATTCGTCAACGAAACTTTTTCTCTTCGTCACTGATCGAACGAGCTGCGACAAAGCGATACGAACATCTCGAAGACGCGACGTGACTGTCTCGTTTTACAGCAAAAATCTGATTTTTCGTTACGGGGGCAAAAATATTCAATGTGAAATTACCGATGATCGATTTCCACAGCCTCTTCTCTTCTTTGACGTGGCCACGTCTTTAGTTTTCGAGTCAAGTCATTCGCACGACTTTAGTTTCCGGTAATTAGACTTGTCTCTTCTGATACATTTGAGACAGAACGCTGTATGACAAATTACGTAACCTTATAGAATCGATTAAGAAATATAAAGATGTCAACGTCGATCTGTTGGCTGTTTCACGCACGATTTCGATGAGCAGTTTAAATCGACTAAGCGCGATGTACGTTGATGCACGTCTATATTACACGACGGTCTGCTTATTGTTTCTCTTTTCCTCGCGACAGTTATAAACTTCTGTGTAATACATCTTATTACAGAGCCATCGATTGCGTAAGTGGAATGCATATGCTACGATCGATAACAATGTGCAGTAATAATAATATTTATTATCGTTTTAGCACGGTTATATTGATCGTTGCAAAATGGTTATGGTGCACACATTGCATAAATCATTTGCGAGCAATGTCTCTTTTAATAATTAAAAAAAAAACGCGATCGTGTCAGATTAGCACAGGAATAATTCGTCTTTCTTTTATACAATTAAAAAAATTTGTGTTATTTTTAATACAGTTCGCATGTATCAAACGATCCATTCAAATTTTCGGAATTTACATGTAATTCATTTTAATACACTTTAATATATTGTAGTTTATTACAAGATACATGTATTAAAAAATAACAAATACTACGTAAAAAATTAACACAAAAATATAACACTGATACGAGTTGTAAAAGAATTGTGAAAACATATTTTTTAAGTAAAATTAATATCTTTTTCATTTATCTTAGAATTTATGTTTCAAAATATAAATTCACTTACTTTCATAAATTGTTATTTTAACACTAAACATGTTGAATTTAATACAAAACGTTCAAAGAACATAATTACATTATGTTAAATTAACATTCGAATAATTAAAAATTTATAATACAAAAATGTTGACAGAGGTCGGTTTTAACAAATTTAAAATTTTATCTGTGAGATTCTGTATATGTCTTAAATAAAGTTGAAACGATAGATGAGATAAAAGGACGCGATAGAAAGGATTAACTAGGAAAAAGAATCATTAATGCGGGCAAGATTTGAAAAATCCGACTTGCGCAGCCGCGCGTATAATGCGGTTCTTTCGTTCTGCGCCTCGACACCTGTGTGAAAGAAGATTCCCCCGAGTAAATTTGCTCACCCCTGCCCGCCAAGAAGTCATATGAAAAAGTGGAGAGGGTTCGACTGCCTATGCCCAGTAATTATTCCGCTTGAGTTACCGAGCAAACGGACGGGCCCTTAGCGCCCCAAAGAAATTTCTACCGGACGGTCCCCTCGTGGCGAAGAAGTCATTTGCATCTTTTACCACGAGAAAAGATTTCCGATGCCATTCGAGATAGAACTAAGCTAGCGTGGCGAAACATTGCGTGATCCGAAACTCCGCCTGGCAACTATTCGCTTGTTTTACAAGCTGAGTGGGGGGTTTTTGTACACACATTATCTCTTGCACAATACAATTGTACTGTGTGTATGGCTACACAAATCAGTCGATGTTAAAACAACGCATTTTTAATGCATCTTTTTATTAGAAATCGACAATTCTTGTATCTTTACATAAAACTTTATATTAAAATCTTTAAGGATTTTCAACGAACTTTCGCACAAATAACCTGTGAGCCATACATTAATAAGTGTTTAATTTTTCGTCATGAAAATGATGTTCATAGTTTAATTGTTTTTGCCTGTCAAAATTTGGAAAGGAAGAGCGTCCCTCTTTGCATACGCCGATGATTGTTGCTTTATCATATTCATAAAAAACAGTTTTGTTTGTTTTCTTTAATGTCGTAAGACATATTGGCTATGACTTATTTATTAGTTTAGTATCGCGTGTGACTAGCATGAGTAATTTTAGCTTGACGTATGCCTAATCAATATTAATGTTCGAATAGTACATGACTGACTCTAGTGAATAAAATATCTGTTAATGAATTTCTTTACAATTTCATCGTTTTTTTTTTTTTCATGTCAATGAAAATTCAATAAGTCTATTACTTGTTAAACAACGCTATCGAGAATACTTACCGCAATGTGGCTTATCGAATTTTTACCTATTATAAATTTCATATTCTAACCAAATTTTATTCTTTTAACTGCATGGGACACTGTCAAGTTGTTCTGAATAATAATGTTCAAATGATCATAACTGCGAAAAAAATTGGAGAGAT